TGAACTGCTTTGCTAAGTTCCTAAGTATTTTTAAATGATATTATAATGAAATTATTTTCTTAATTTCATTTTTATGAACATGACTGTTGATTACTAATATATAAAACTATGACTGATTTTTGTACATTGATCTTGTATGCTGAGACCTTGATAAATTGTTTATCAGTTCAATTAATGTTTTTATAGATAAAACATTTTTTAGATATCTTAGGATTTTCTACATATAGAATAAATGTCATCTGTGAATATAGACCATTTAATTTCTTCCTTTCTAATTTAGATGCCGCTCCCCTTTTATTTTCTTTGGTCTTATTGTACTGCCGGATAGAAGTGGTGGGCACAAATATTCTAGTGCTGTTCCCAATCTTAGGGAGAAAGCATTCAGTCTTTCACCGTTAAGTATAATGTTCACCATAGGTTTTTCACATGTGCCTTGTATCAGGTTAAGAAGATTCTCTTCTATTGCTAGTTTGTTGGGAGTTGGTTTTGTTTTGTTTTGTTTTATCATGAAGGGATGTTGGATTTTTGTCAAATCATTTTCCTACAACTATTGACATGGCTCTTTATTCTTTATTCTGTACATATAATGTATTATAGTACTTTCCAATTGTTAAACCAACTTTGCATTCCTGATGAATCTCACTCCTGATGAATCTCTTGATTCTGCTATACAATTCTTTTGATGCCACCAGATTTGGTTTGCTACTGTTTTGTTAAAGATCTGTGTTCATGGAGAATATTGGTCTACAGTTTTCATATGATTTTATTTTGTCTGACTTTAGTATCAGGGTAACTCATAGAATAAGTTGGGAGTTATTCTCTTTCCTCAGCTCTCTAAAAGAATTTGTAAAGAAAAAATATTTTATTTAAAAATATTTGATAGAATTTATCAGCAAAGCTCATTGGGCTGAGCTTTTCTTTGTATAAAGATTTTTAATTACTACTTACACTTATTTACTTACTATGAGTTTATTCAGATTTTCTATTTATTCTTGAGTCAATTTTCTTAATTCATCCATTTCTGGGAATTTGTCCATTTCCTCTAAATTGTCTAATTTGCTGGCATAATATGAATAGTTATTCATAATATATAATCCTTTTAGTTTATACTGAATCAGTAGTGATGATTTCATTTCTAATTTGGTAAGTTGTATCTTTCTTATTTTCGTAGTCCAGCTAGAAAATAAATACTTTTATTTTCCCTTGTGACTTCTTCTTTGCCTCATGTGCTATTTAGAAGTATGTTATTTAATTTCCAAATAAATGTTTTTTTCTAGATTTTTTTCTGTTGTAAATTTCTTTTCTTTCTTTGTTTTTTTTTTTAACTTGAGAAAGAGAAAGTATGAGTTGGGGAGAGGGGCAGAGGAAGAGAGAGAGAATCTTCAGCAAGCTTCATGTTCAGCACAGAACCAGACATAGGGCTGGATCCCACAACACTGGGTTCATGACTGTGGCCGAAATCAAGAGTCGGTCGCTCAGCAAACTGAGTCACCCAGGTGCTCTGTTGTAAATTTCTAATTTAGCTCTGCTGTGGTCAGAGAACATCCTTTAAATGAGTTCAATTTTTTTAAATTTACTAAGACTTGTTCTGTGACCCAGCACAGTGTTTATCATAAAGAATGTTCCATGTATGTTTGAGAAGAATGTTTTCTGCAATCAATGGATGGAGTGTCCCATTATCAGTTATGACAAGTTGGTGGACAGTATTGTTCAAGTCATCTGTACCTTCTACACCCTTGCTTTTCTATCTAATTGTTCTATGAACTTTTGAGAATGTAATATTGGAATCTCCAACTATTACTGTTGATTATTTCTCCTTTCTCTTCTGTCACTTTTTGCTTCATACGTTTTGGGCTGCTGTTGTTAGGTGTGTATACATTTATCATTGTCATATCTTTCTAATGTATTAATCCTTTTATCATTAATAAATATCTTTGTTTTTCCCTAATAATATTTCCTGTCATAAAGTCTATTTTGTCTGATTTTAATATAGTCACTCCAGCTAGCAAACTACTGCTTGCATGATGATTTTTTTTATGCTTTTACTTTCATCCTATTTGTGTCTTGAAATCTAAGGTGTGTCCTCTGTAGACAGCATATAGGCAGGTCTTGCTTTTTTATCCAGTCTGGAATCATTTACTTTTTGAGTTGGGTATTTAGTCTGTTCACATTTAATATAATTATTGATACAGCTGCTAGCAATAAATCTTTAGTCTTTATCTGGGAATGGCTTTATTTCTCATTCATCTTTGAAGGACAGCTTAGCTGTACACAGAATTCCTGGTTGATAGATTTTTCTCTCAGTAGGAATATGCTGTCTTATTGCCTTCTGACTTCCACTGTTTTTGATGAGAAGTCATCTGTTGATTGTATTTTTTTCTACACCGCTTTCATCTTCTTCTGGAACTCTTACAACATATATATTGATATGCTTGGTGTTGTCCCACAGGTCTCTGAGCCTCTGTTTCTATTTCTTCAATTATTAAACAATCTTTGTTCTTTAGATTGAATAATTTCTTTTGCCTCACCATTCAGTTCACTTATTTTTCCTTCTGCCCTTTAAGTCTGTTACTCAGCACCTCTAGAGAACTGCTCATTTCATTTAAGTTATTGTACTTCTCAACTCCAGAATTTCCACTTGGTTTTTTGTTTTCTAAATCATCTCTCTTTATTGAGATTCTTTATTCATTGAGTCTTTCTTTTAATTCTTCAAATATGGTTTCCTAAGGGTATTATAGCTGCTTTGCAGTCTTTTTCTACGAAGTCCTACATCTGAGGACAGACACAGACACAGTTCCTATTAAGTGCCTTTTTCCTGTGTATGGATCATGTTTTCTTGTTTTTTTGAATGTCCCTAAATTTTTTGTTGAATGTTGGACATTTTAGATCACATATGGTAGCAACCTGAATTCTGACTTTTTCCCAGAGCACTGTTGTTGGTATTGTTGTTTTGCTTATATAGTAATTTGCCTGGACTAAGTCTACAAGATCAGTCTTCTACATAAGGTACAGTTGCTGGTGTCCTTACTCAATTTTTGTCTTTTTTTTATTTTTAAGCTTTTTCTGGCTTTCTAGAAGTCATCCTCATGTCTGCGTCGCTTAGCAAAGACTAGTCAGAGGTTTTGCTCAAACACCTTCATCCAGAAAGGCTTCTCCTCTCTGCTTCTGTGTGTGGACTGGGGAGTACATTCAAACTTCAGGCTGAAGGTTTTCATGTTTGCCCCAGGTCTACTTTCTGCTGCTCTGTCTCATCTCCTCTGTGTGCACGCAGGCCTAGCTGGCCAGGGACATGTGGGTATTTTGGGCACACTCCATCTCTGCTACTCATGCACACAGACTCCGGTCAATCTGGGACACCTAGAGAGCTATCAGGCCCCTGATGGCTGTCTCACCTCCCCGAACTACCTAATAAGTCCCCAGCTAGACCACTGGTCCATTGCTTGCCCTAAAGAGGACTGTAAACTCAAGATAGTGGAGCTACTGGCTCTTCCTACTGATTTACCATGGCTGTGACCACTTTAACTAAAAATACTCCAAATAGAATATTCTGGAAGTGGCAGCAAAGCTGGCTGATTTTCACAGCCTGCCCTGCTCTGGTTGAAATAACACACTGACAGAGCTGGGGAGGAGGGAATGGGAGCAACCTGAGGTAAGAACGTCATAGGCTCACGCTGTTCCTACCAAAAGTTTAACAGTTTTCATGAACAAATGTTTGCTTCCCAGTTTGTTGCATGGCTTTGGTCAATTTTTAGAGAGCTGAAATGGATATTTTTGAAAATCTTTTTCCAGTTTCCAATTACTTTTTGGGAGGAGGATTTGTCCACCTCCTCATTCTGTCATGCTAGAAGTCAGTATCTCAGCCACTCTTTACATTTTGCTGTAATTAGAAGTATTAATGCTGTTAAAAAGCAGAGCTATACAAGTGAAAATATTGCTGTGAAATGTTGTTTTCAAAGAAAAATGTTTGTTTTTGTTTTCTGGGGGGGAAAATCAACCAACAAACATAAAGATGAGAGAAGATCTCAGCTTAAATGATTATTTCATTAGGTTAAGTTAAGAAACCTCATTTCTCAGGGGCACTTGGGTGGCTCAGTTGGCTACGTGTCTGACTTTGGCTCAGGTCATGATCTCACGATTCATGAGTTATAGTCCCACATTGGGCTCTGTGCTGACAGTTCAAAGCCTGGAGCCTGCTATAGATTTTGCCTCTGTCTCTCTGCCCATCACACTCTGTGTTTCTCTCTCTCTCACACATATAAATCAACATTAAAACAATAAAAAAAAAAAAAAAAGAAATCTCATTTCTCAGAAACAACACACCTAGGGCCCTACAGCTTGACTCTTTCACAGACATGAGAGAAATGAATGACATGCTCCACTAGAATATGCTTAGTCCCAAAGCATCTCAGTCACCACTGAGCAACCCCCAGCTGCTTTTTCTGTTTCTTTCTTCCCCATTTCTCTATCGTATGCCTCAACCATAGTCATGAGATACGCAACGGACATTCCTATAATACTCTGTTGTTTGAAGATTCCATCAAAGTCCTCCCACCTGGCCATCTGTCTGTCTTCCTTTCTCTATCACCCCTGACAGACTGAGACCTGTCAGGCAAGTCACTTGGGCTCTGGACACTGTGACACCCCCCAAGGAAGGAAGAGAAAACCTGCATCCAGGAATCCAGTCTTGTAGACCTGGAGAAGACTGAGAGATNGGGGGGGGGGGGGGGGGGGGGGGGGGGGGGGGGGCAAAGCCTCTCATGTTCAGATGGGGAAATGAAGGCTTAGGGGAGTTAAGGGGATTAGCCCTTCCAGGAGTGTGATAAAGATTATGTCATGCTGATAAAATAGGCAGAAGACCTCAGAAATCGTTACTGGAATGAGTGAGGGATCAGGCTCAAGGCCAATGACTAGAAATGATTTCAGGAAGATCACATGCTTCAAGAACACTGGACATGAAGGCTCCTAAGGTTTATTTTTCCCACTCCTTCCCTCTTTCTTACCTTAGCAAAGAAAATCCAGGCTGCACACTGCCCTGGGGCCATAAGGCTTTTAAGCTTCACTGTGCTGAGCATGAGAAAAAATCCTAAAATTCCACTGGAAGGAGAAAATATTCTTTTGTTAGTGAGGCTTGTCTTCCTTTAGCCAATAGCTATTTTCTGTCACATTTTACCAGCCAGTTTCTAATTATTACAGAACCTCTATCTCATCTGTGCTTTCTAGTGATCTCTGGATAAAAATATCAAATATTTAAAAAACCATAAAAATAATTTTATGAGCTATGATAAGAGTGTTTCACTGGGTGGGGGCAAGAGGGGAGGGAGTGTAGAAACTTGGGAAATCTCTGGCTAAATCATGAAAGAAAAAAAACGTGGAGGACAATACCTCCCGCTCCCTCCCATATTATTTCTGGAGCTTAGTGCTTGCCAAGGTAGAGCTTCCATTTTTTTTTTTTCCCAAGCAGAACAAACTGCCAGAAAAAGACTACCACAGTAAAACTCACCATATGGGAACAGAGGGTCTGGATCAGCTCCTGGGTTCAAGGTAAGAATCTAAAGGGGAGGACTGGGTCCAGTAGCAGAAGTCCTGCCCCCCCCCCCCCAACCAGGCTGAGCTACACAGAAGCTATGCTTTGGGAATGATGCCCAAACCCATCTGTGTGACCTGAGAGACCACATCTTATGGGACACCTAGGGGTCTGCGGCAGCCTAGCAGTGGACAGGTTAAGTAGTGGCTTCCACTGGATTCCTTTTTCTGTTTTTAATTTTTTAAAATGCTTTATTTATTTTTGAGAGAGAGAGAGAGATAGAATGGGAAGCAGGCTTCAGGCTCTGAGCTGTCAGCACAGAGCCCTATGTGGGGCTCGAACCCATGAACCGTGAGATCATGACCTGAGCCAAAGCCGGCCGCTTAACCAACTGAGCCACCCAGGCACCTCCACTGCCATTTTTTAAAACATCACGGTGTGGCCAAGGATAAAGCAAAGGGCACTCCAAACAGAATGGTCACTCTTCCTTGCATTTGGAAGCAGGGCAATTAGAGAAGAGAGACTCCATGATAGAGGCTGACTTCCTGTAACTATATCAAGTGGGGGCTTGAATGTGACTTTTATTAGAAATTGAAAAGCAAGAGATATGACCGCAGTGCTACCCCAACTAGAGAACCAGGTCATACGAGCTGTACCTCATTTGTACCTCCAGGGCCCAGGTGCCACCCTGCCATCTGTGTGGTGTGTGACTCCAACATAGACCAGGAGCTCTGAGAGGGCAGGGCCCAATCTTGGACTTCTCTGATTTCCCCAACAGAGCCAAACATGGTATCTTGGTCATCGTAGGTATTCCATAAATGTTTGACAGTTTACTGGCTGGATTGAATTAAACACGGATAAGGCCAAATTTCACAGAAACGTGTGCCTTCACATCATTAGATTAGTTTACAGCCGCATTCTTGGGGCAGGACCAAGGATAGGGATGAAGGTTCCCTTGTGTATATTTCAGCCTGTTGGACTCTGATGACCTGCAAAGTTTGCTCAGATTCGCATCTGCAGTCACGGGAGGCTGGGCAGCTATGGATGAAGACAGTCAGTCATTCACACCCGAAAGGCAAGGAAGCCTAGTGGGTAAGCAGCCGGCTGGAAATGGAGTGACCTGGGCTGTGCCCACTGACCCTCTTAACCTTGACCAAATCTCTCTGTTGATCTTTTTTTCTTGCCTCAGGTTCTTGCCTGTTGTTAAAGCAGGTATAAGCATAGTGGTCCTCATCCTACCTTATGGAAATCAGAGACTTCCAGAAAAGAAAGGCTCCCCAACCCCAAATCTCACCTTATTAACAAACTGAGGCTCAGGCACAATTCGAGTCCAGGTTTTCTGGTTTATTCGAAGGTTCCCCACAGTACAGAGCAGCTGGGTGGCTCAGTCAGTTGAGGAACTGACTCTTGATTTTGGCTCAGGTCATGATCCCAGAGTCATGGGATCAAGCCTTGCAATGGGCTCCACATTGAGCATGGAGTCTGCTTAAGATTTTCTCTCTCTCTTTCTCTCTCCCTCTGCCCCTCTCCCCCACTTGCACATGTGCTCTCTCTCTCTAAAATATAATTAGGAAATAAAGGTCCTACACAGTGCTTCAAATTTCACCATGAAGATACGTTTTTTAAAAAAAATTTTTTTATAGTTACTTATTTTTAAGAGACAGAGTGAAACAGTGCATGAGCAGGGAAGGGGCAGAGAGAGAAGGAGACAAAGAAGCAATTCAGCAAGCGTTCAACACAGAGCCTGACGCAGGACTCGAACCCACAAACTATGAGATCATGACCTGAGCCAAAGTCGGACACTTAACCGACTGAGCCACCCAGGCACCCCTGAAGATATATTCTTGACTCAAGAGACAGAAGAGATGCTGCAGGTGCTCATAGCCACTGTGAGGTTCGGAGTGGAAAGTGAGGCGGCCAACACTCCAGGGCTCCTCCTGGGGGCGTCCACCCCTGCCTCCAGGGACATAACAACTTCCCGTGTGCCTGTGCTGTCTCCCACACCCCCTCCCCTCCGATCTTCCCCTCTCCTCTCCACCTCCAGCCAGAAGATGGGCATAATTCCACGTCCTCTATCCCCTCTGCACACTGCTAGAACAGAGCTACTCAGGTCTGTGCCCGACACACTTGGGAAAGCATCCACGACTCCTTCCCGTCCCTTGCCTGGTATGCCTGTGACTCATTTCTAAATTACTCATGGGTCCCTCTCTTTCTCTTTCCACACTCAGCTCTCTACCCCTCCCTGTGGAGGGAGATCTGAAAAGCAGTAGGAGGAGCCTAGAAGTAAAAGAACTTGGGCTCCCCATTAATGTATCTCTAGGTTATGGCTACCACAGTCCTTCAGGCCTCAGTGACTCCTTCTGAGCTCCTCTAGGGCCTCTGAAGGTGACAACTCTTAGTCTGACACATGGTCATGGAGGAATCATCAATGACATGGGAGAAACTGACACATTCTTAAAAGAGGTCAAGCTTTGTCCTGAAGCCCAGGGGGTAGAATGTAATACAGTTACATCAATTCACACAAAGATTTCCAAATTTTTTAAGTATAAAAACCCTGATTTTTCATGTTGGGTTATAAGAAAGTTGCAGTTTAAGAGGGGGCAGAAATGGAGCTAGAATATCACCCCATGAGGCCAGCATCAATGGGCTGTGAACTGGGCTGCTCTATTCCAAATAACCAAACAATGGGTGCCCTTCCCTGTGCACTGTTTTTTCTGGTGCTGCCAAATAACCAGCCCCAAAACAAGTACACGGACACCAGAGCAGCACTAATGCTCACGCCACCCAGTCCTAGCTAATGGGCAGCCGACAAGTCCTGACCACATCGACAGGAACAGAGTAGATGACTCGTGTCAGTAATTTCCTGGAACTTAGCGAAGGATGATAAATAAATCACTCTGAGGCTCAAATGCAAAAGCAAACTGTACAATATTGATACGTTTTTGTCCTAACACACCCCTAAATCAGAAATAGCCAGCCACACACCAGCTTTTTGCCTCTGGGAAGAATCACTGCCTCACAAGGCACAGGAATAAGGGGTCTGGCTTGGCAACTGCCCATGGTCTGTTGACATTTTATTTACAGTCAAGCTGAGCAGATAATAATAACGGCCATCACTTACTGGGCCAGGCATGATGCTTAGGGTTCACGCATCTTAGTGAGTATACACAAGCACCCTGTGCAGGTATTACCTTTCCATTTTACAGATGACGAAACTAAACTAATGCTTGGGAGAGCTAGGGCAGCTTGCTCAAAGAGCAAACAAATTAGCAAGCAGCAAGTTTGGAATTCAACCCAAGACTGGACTTCCCACCATATCAGAACACATGCCATGAGGCTGTCCATTTCTCAGCACAATAAAGTTAAGTGAAGTGGGGATCATGGCAGGAGAGAGGGGAGAGAGTGAGTATGAACTCCATCTATGTGTATCCATCCCATTGGTCTGAAGATCTCCCAAGGCCAAGTATTAAGGGTCACTTTGTTGTCTAGATGTCTCCTAGTCACTGGTTTCCAAAACCTGTTTCTCAGGGTCCTAGGATTCAGTCAAAGCTTTTTAGAGATTGTTCTCTAGGGAAAAGGCAGGGACCAAGGAGGTAGCTGAATGGGTACAATTCTGAACCCAAGTCTTCCCTTGAACAGAATCCAATGCATCATTTTATACATTGAAGTTCTGTTTTAGAATTGCCTGTGGAGGGGCGCCTGGGTGGCTCCATCATTTGAACATCCAACTTTTGGTTTCAACTCAGGTCATGATCTTGGCTCATGGGTTTGAGCCCTTGTATTGGAATTCTCTGTTTCCTACTCTCTTTGCCCCTCCCCTGCTTGAGCACTCTCCCCTCCTCAAAATAAATAAATATAAAAAAAAAAATAAGAATCTCTTGTGGAGAGAAAAACACTGGGGCAATCTTGGCTCTTCTGCAAGTTTGAAAACTACAGCCCTGGTCAAGGAACTTGTGCAGGACACGGTACCCCGGGCCCCACACTGGCCCCGAGCACCCGAGGATGTTCATGACAACGTGCTGATGGCCGAGAAAGCTGCTTCCAGACTTGCATGGCCACCACTCTCTTCTGCCCCTCCTCTGGATAACTGGCAATGACCCTAGACTTGACGAAGACAGCAGGCAGTACACACACATACAGATTAATAGTGCCAGGGGCTTTCTATTAAGCTTACCTGGCACAGCAGCTTCCGTGGAACCTGTAGAAATACAGGAACGGAAAGTCCGGGACCCTGAAGAGATCACCTGAAGGGCACAGCAAGAGTGAGACAATGGTGCACACGCCCCTCAGCCCCTAACTGTCCTGGAAAACGCAAGGCGACATTTTTTAGCACAGCAACTATCTGAGCAGAGCTGCATGGCACTGAATTCACTCTGGCATTCCCAGGGCTTCTAGATTAGTGGCATTGTCTTAAAATAATAGCGTGATGCTCATAATGCCTATTTAGCAAGATTTCGTCCTGTGCAGGGCCCTATGCTAAAAGCTTTATGTACAACACCTCTTTCAGTCCCTATCACTACTGTGTGGTGTTTTATCATCCCCCATTTAACTGGTGCTCAGACAAGTTAAGGGATTTGTCTAGGATTCTACAACTCTTGAACTGTGAAGCCAGGAGGTACACCCCAGTCACTCCAAACCCTACAATCTCCTCGTCACCAGGAGGCCATCCTGGCCCAAGGCGGAGTGCAGGACAAAAAGAATCTTTTTTTTTTTTCCTTAAGGATTATTCTATTCTTTCCTGCCTATGTCTAAAAAAAGCCTGAATGCATGCCTCTGACATCTTTTTTCCATTTTGTGTTTAATTACTGCACAAACGGCGCAGGGGCCAGAACGACCGTGCTTACTCATTTGGGTGTAAGGTCCAAAGGGTACATTTATTTCTAGTGAAGTCAGTCCATTCTTCTAGTTCCACTTGGTGCAAGAGGAAATAATCACACATATTGGCTGCTTCCCTCTCTGGAATTTGAACTTGGTCACAAACAAGAAGTCAGGAGATTAAAAAAGCAAAAAGCCTTCCAAAAATGTCCAGAGGAAAGGAATTAAGCATTTCCACAGCAGATAGCCTAATCCTTCCAAATCTGGAATTTCTGAGACTCTGGGGGAGCCAGACCTTCCAGACCCCCAGGCTTCGGTCTGTCTCTCTGGATCTGGATGGACTGGAGCAGTGAAGGCTGGTCTCCCTAAGACTCACCATATGTTAGGTGTGCATGCAACATACAGGCAGGAATGCGTTTGTCACTGAACTTACTAATCAAGAGTTTCAGAACAAGACGCGATGGGCTGCTACACTTCCTCCAAGACCTAACTGATTTCAAATCATTCATCCACCTCTTGGTAAAGAGTCCTGAATTCTAGTTCCCTAGAGGGTTTTTAATCACAACTATTCTTTTGTTTCGTTTGTGCATACGTGTGTGTTCTTAGCCACAAAAGGGTGCATCTCTTGGGACCTGGTTTTTGTGCAGCCCGACAAGAGGCTCAGAGCTCTGGCTTTCTTCCTGTCACGACTCCCCTGAGCACTTCTCTTGTCTACACGGATCTGCACTGGTGGAGGGGCTTTGCACATCACACCATCAGGCTCAGACATCTAGTGCATGAAAAACATGGTATCTGTGGAAGTCCCTTTCCACACAGAGGCGACAGTGAGGTAACCCTAGGCATCCCAGACCCAGAGCCCCCCATTCAGGCCAGTGAGGCGAAGGTCCATGCAGGGTTTGCTCTCTCTCTCTCTCTGGCAGCTGTGGTTCTTGGCCCTGTTCCAATTTCCCTTTCAGTTTCAGAGAAACCGCAGTGCAGTCTGTGATGAGGAGGAGGGGCAGAGAGGGGATCAATCAAGTGCAGGACCTCTAGATTCTTCTGGCACTGCCTCCTCTCTGCACCCAGGCTGTCATGAGAAATGCTCCAGGGACGTGAATGGGGTTCGCGAAGCAGTGGCAGCCTTTCTGACCTAGTGCAGGCTGCTGAGGGGTTCTAACGAGCAGTGGAGTGGTCAGAAGTGGGCTGGGAGGGGGGAAGGCAAAGGAAAAATCACAATCCTAGGGAATTTACCAGTCACGTGATAACCTTCACCCAAATCCTAAAAACTTATCCTATAAATTATTGAGAGAGAGAATGGCTTATCTTTGAGCCATTTCTGTAACCTCTACACATTTCTCACGTGGTACTAGTTGATCATGCCTGTCTCTTTTTTTGTAACCATCAAGTCCTTGAGAGGCAGGACTGGACCTTACTCATATCCACTGTGTTAGGACCAACCCCCAATAAACACTACTGAACCAAGAGTATCTGAAATACCTCAACTCCTCTTACTTCCCCTGCAAAGAATGTTCCACTTTCCAGTTGGCTATGCTGGTCTTTAATTTTGCCTCAAATGCTTCCCCTCTGATGCCTTCAGCCTGGCTCCTATTTTACTAGAGTTCTTGAACAAAGAGAGTGCATGCCAACCTCTAAACAGCAAAGGTTAATGACCACATGACAAATGGCCCTGAAGATGAGGCAGTCTGTGGCTGGCTGGCCCAACCTCAATAGAACAAATTCCAGGGACCTAAAAAATTGGTAAAGATGCTTCGAAGAGCACACTCCTGCACCAGCAATTGTGGACTACACAAATTAAGCTCAGATTCAGTAGTTCAACAGTCATAAACATATTTTGTAGCAGCAACAGGCAGCTTAGGCAATAAAGTTCTAATTGAGCCCTCACTTTTTTAATTTAAATTTCAGTTAACATACAATGTAGTATTAGTTTCAGATGTACAATATAGTGATTCAGCCCTTCCATATAATACCTGGTGGTCATCATGACATGAACCTTCACTTTTATGCTCCAGTTAAAATCTGCTGACTTTCTGGGTGAGGAAGTGAATTCGAATTCTCTGAAAATCATAGAGCATGAAATTGCCATGGTGAAAAGTGTGGCACAATCTTACCACATTCAAGACTTACAATATTTGAACATCAGGACAACTTCCCCTCCCCACACTGTAGCCCTTGGAACTGGCAGGTAAATGGAAAGTCAGTTCCAAGAAGTAATTAGTGCTACTTGCTTTATCTCACACATGAGCAATAGGCACACCAGGTAACAAGGCCATTTATGGGTCAGATTCCTGTGGTTCCCTCTGCTCTCTTGGACCCTTGAAATTATCTCTCCTTGAGTATACAACAGAGGGGCCCAATACAAATACACAATACAAACTACTAGTGCTTAAAATGGTCCAAGGGGAAGCAAGGTTCCAAGATTCTTGAAGCCTCTGCATGAATCATGAGGTTGAAAGATTAGAGGGGAAGGTAGATTTCGTTCACCAAGAAGCAAACCCAATGCCCAAAGGGGGAAAAGTGGCAGGGCCTGAATTAAAGAGAACTATCTACCCAATCCCTACCACCATGTCCCGATGCACACCAAAGCTGTGTCCCAAAGGCCCATCATCTGCAGCTATAAAGATGCTTATCTTTCAACATGCACTCCAAAAGTGTGTCCCAAAGGCCCATCATCCGCATCTACAAAAACGCCTCTTTCTAGTCACTCAGGAATGAGAAGGGCAGCTCATTCAAAAGCACCATCAAGCGACCACAAAGACTAGCTATAATAAGACCGACAACACCAATTGTTAGTGAAGACGTGGAGCAACTGGAACTCTCAGACATTGCTGAGTAGGGGTGTAAACTGGTATAAACACTTTAGAAAACTGACACTTTCTTAAAAAGTTAAATCTACATCTACTCTAAGACACAGAAATTCTACTCCTAAGAATTTATCCATGAGACAAAAAGCCCTGCAGAAGAATGTTCATGAAAACTTTATTCACAACAGCCCCAAACTGGAAACAGCCCAGCCCAGGTCAGCATCAGCAGGTGAACAAAAGGTGGTATAATTATACACTAGCACCCTCCTCAGCAATCAAAGGGAATAAACTGGTGATACGTACAACAGCCTAGATGAATCTCTGAACACTAGATTGAATGAAAGAGCAAGACACAAAGGAATACTTCCGGTGTGTTTCCATTTTTATGAGGCTCTAGAATAAACAGAACTTATCTATGGTAACAGAAATCAGATTGTGGTGGCTTTGGTGCTAGGTAAAAAGGGAGTAATGAAGAAGGGGCAAGTGGAAACTTCCTACAGTGACAGAAGTGGTCTATGCCTTGATGGGAGTGTAAGCTACACGGGTGTATACATTCGTCAAAATTGATCAAGCGGTACACATAAGATAGGTGCATATCATATATGTAAATTATACCTCCATTTTTTTAACGTTTTAAAAGTTCTACTAAATAATTAAGATACAAGTTTAAAAAAAGAGGTGGAAGGAAACTAAAGGGAAAAAAGCCCTGCTTTAAAAATATCAGCAACTGTTGGGGGCACCTGGGTGGCTCAGTCGGTTAAGCGTTCAACTCTTGATTTCGGCTCAGGTCGTGATCTCACAGTTCGAGTTTGAGTCCCACATCAGGCTCTGTGTTGACTGTGCAGAGCCTGCTTGGGATCCTCTCTTCCTCTCTCTTTCTGTCCCTCCCCTCCTCTCAAAAATAAATAAACTTATAAAGAAAAATTAAAATGTCAGCAATTGTTAATAGACCCTTCATAAGAACACTGGGCCTCAACTGGTGCAGGTGTGGGGAACCAGGAACATGTCCTCCCTAATACTCAGGCCCCTCAGTGGACATTCTAGATGGAAAGTGTAATAAGCAAGTGGGGAAGAATAAAGGGTTGTTCTAATTTAAAAAGGGGCTAGACTACTCATGGGTACAATGAGAAGGCTAATTAATGAATTAGAGCTGCCCCATCACAGCAGTCCTTGAATACCTCTGGAGGAGAGAGATTTTCCTCAGGTGTTTTATTTGCTTAAACTCTGTAATAATTGTATACTGCTATGAGAAGACATCACCAGGACCCATCAAAAAGCTTAGGGTAATTGACTTGGGCTTATAAATCTGAGAAAAACTGATCCCAAGGTCCTCTTCTAGATTCTGAGCCTCTATCATCTCTCATACCACATTTCTACCTTAATATATCTATCTGCCTGAGTTATCCACTCTACCAAACAAATACAGCCATTTACTGTGCCTGACTGCTTTTTGAAGCAACAAGCCACTGCTTACAGCTGCTAGGGTTGTGCACTGCCTAACTTCAAAGGGCAGGGCACTGTAAGCCTAGACCGCAACGGTGTGTGGCAACCCTGAGAGTTTTGAAAAGTTAAAGTGAATCAAAACCTAGACAGTGACTTTTCACGTGGTTTTCACAAACAGCCTCCCTACTCTAGTCAGGACTGTTTTGCTACTCAACAGCCCCGATGCAAGCAGGCACTTAAGGACCAGCCCCTTGATACTAAGGTTTCAAGTCAATGGCACTCCACTGACCAGAGCTGAAAAGAGAAACAGCCACAGACATCTTTAAGGCCCCTTGGCTCACAATTTCTAGATGTTCTAAGAAAGCAGCAAACGGGATCATGTTGACCACACACAGAGTACCTTCATACCACAGAAGTAGGGGTGGTTTTACAGTGTTTCCCTGGGATGTTTCCCTGGGATGCTCATGGATTAAAAGCTGAATTGGTGCTGGTATAGATGGAAACTGTTGGCTTCTTCTGGAAGGCTGCCACCAATTTGTCTACAACCCACACCCACCTTTGCCAGGGCCTTTCCTGGAGCCCTGCTATGATGGTTACTTAGGCCCGAAGGATTCTGGAACCCTCCAGCTCTGGGGCATCCCTTCACTGGGAGCCTCAGCCACCTACAGCAAGGGAGGCAGAGACCACCTCAGCTACTGACACCAGGATCACAGCCAGTCTCACAGGTCAGCAAAATCCTTCTCAGGAGCACAATTTTCTTTACCTGGCCCCTCCAAAGATAATTGCCTTAGCTCCCTGAAAACTGCAACACACAAACTTGCACTCAGGAGTCCTTCCAGGAAAGCATACAGAGTCTCTCTCTGATGAACCCCACAGGCTTTACAACTCCCTGAGCAGCCCACCAGACCTACCCTCAGTCATTCACCACACCATGCGGTCAAAGCCTGTGGAAAGGAATGGGGGGGTGAGCATCTGATGTCCATTCAGTTGTTGTTGTTCTTGTTTAATATAATCTAGAGGAAAATTAATTTTTGTAAATATATTTGTCTGGTATTGATAGGGAAAAATCTGTTATAAGATGGCTGACAGGACTGATAAGGGAATTCCAGTCCCTGCCTGAAAAATCCCATTCCGGGTTTTCCTTCCTATCCCAAGAGCCACTGGAACAGACTGAAAATTGTCACCTCTACTTAAGCTCAGGGCTCAGACATCTAGAGGGTGATCTCCTCTGAGCCCACCAGTGTGAATTAAACCCCCTGCCTTCAAAGACCTCCAAGTGCTGCTTGGTTTTTCTGCTGGGTGATCCAGACCAGATTCTGTAACAGTATAACTGAGTTCCAAACAGGTTCTCAAATAAGAGTGATTTGTTTTTGTTTTTGATCCCCTATACATTTTTAAAAATTGAGATATAATTCACCCTTTTAAAGTGTACAATTCAGGGGCTCCTGGGTGGCTCAGTTGGTTGAGCATCCAACTTCAGCTCAGGTCATGATCTCATGGTTCATAAGTTCAAGCCCCATGTTGGCCTCTGTGCTGACTGACAGCACAGAGCCTGGAGCCTGCTTTGAGTTCTGTGTCTCCCTCTCTCTTTGTCCCTCCTGCTGCTCATGCTCTATCTCTGCCTCTCTCTCAAAAATAAACATTTAAAAAAATAAAGTGTACAATTGAGTGGTTTTTAGCATATTAACAGAGGTGTACGGCCATCATCATCACCACTACCAAATTCCAGAACATTTTCATCCCCTCGAAAAAAAAATCTGGGGCCTATTTTAAATTACTCTTCTGCCTAGGCCATTCTGCAACCACAGGCTGCTGACCACTTTGTGTTCCCAGAGAGTAAGTAAGTGCCCAAGATATTCTTGCACTGATTTAAAAGTTTAGCAATAACTCAAGGTGAAATGTGGGAATGTTGGCCAAACCTTATAAACTACTAACAGCATCACTGTGCTCAGAAACTGGGAGACAAAATGGCCCTCAACCTGAAGAGGGCGCATAAGGCAAGCTGATAGGCCACAACTCGCTCCCCCCTCCCGAGATGGGATACGTGTGCTGTTCCTCAGGCACTCCTGGCTGCCCAAGAACAAAGGAAAGGGGAAAAACAAATGGTTAACTGATAGAGATCATAGTCCTGCAGGACCTAAGTCTCCTTCACCTCTCCAAAGTGATGACAGAAATGGCAGATAGAACTCAATTTCCTTATAACCTGAAGCCCATTGACAGATACTTAAGGCTGGCAGAGGAAAACTTTTCTCCAGGAACTCCCTACTGTCTTAATGCTAATGATTTGCTAGAGGGAAAAACAAGCTTAGCTTACAACACCTAGGCCTCCACCATCCTGGGAGTCTTCTTTAGCATATGAAAATCTCACTACAAACTTCCCAAGGACTTTACCTCCCCCAGCTTCATAGTATATAACCAGTCTCTTCAGGGTCCCGGGGCAGTTCTTTCTGCCCACGGGTCCTGTCCCCATGCTTTAAGAAAACCACCTTTTTGCACCAAGACATCTTCAAGAATTCTTTCTTAGAATGAAATCTGGCCATTTGTAGCAACGTGGATGGAACTAGAGGGTGTTATGCTGAGCAAAATAAGGCAGAGAAGGACAGATACCATTTGTTTTCACTCATATATGGAACAGGAGAAACTTAACAGAGGACCAAGGGGGAGGGGAAGGGGAAAAATAGTTGGGGAGAAGGAGGGAGGCAAACCATGAGACTCTTGAATACTGAGAACAAACTGAGGGCTGATGGGGGCGAGGAAGGGGGTAGGGGGGTGATGGGCATGGAGGAGGGCACTTGTTGGGATGAGCACTGAGTGTTATATGGAAACCAACTTGACAATAAATTATAAAAACATTTTAATGAAAAAAAAAAAGAATTCTTTCTTGGTCATCAGCTCTGGACCCCACTATCACCCCAAAAATCTCATCAAAACCAAGAGCAGCTCCAGAAGGAAGTTAGGTAACACTGAAAGTATTCACTCACTCCTGAGACTTTATAATAAACTGCAGGATCACTGAAAAAGAAGCATTTAAAAAGAAAAACCTCAGAGAAGGCTCAGGAGACCTAAACCCCTGTCTCTCTGCTACTCACCTCCTCTGCACCATCTTGGCCACATCCCTTAACTGCTCTGGGTTTCAATTTCCTCATGTGTAAAATATGGCAGCACCATGGATAAATCACTAAGATTCCTTCCAGCTCTGAGAATCATGAGTAACAAAGAAGCATCACCTTTTGGTTGAAAGGCAGGGTGATTTCTTTAGGTGAGAACTATTCGCCCCAATCCACCAGTAATCACTCAGGGAGCCAATAAGCATGCAAATCAGGCAGAACCAGGGAACTTTCCAAAGGTTTTGATCAAAACACATCTCAAAGGGGAGGTTCCTTAGGAGGCCTTGCAATATCTGTTGGGTGGCAACCTCCTGGCTGCGCGACAGAATGACAAGAGGCACGTGTAAAGGCAGACACCCAGCAGTAATGGTGAGCAGAATCTGTTCAGGGTCAACACCGTGGGTTTTATATGATTTTTATTTTACAAAGGATAGGCTTTCAACACATGAGAGTGCAGAGAGCAGAGAGCACTCTGCAGCAAACCTCAAAGTCGGGAGAGAACACCAGGCTGTGGGAACTGGCAGAAAATAGATGCGCATCAGTGTGGGCAAGTGTAGACTAATGCCTTGAGAAAAAGGTAATTCAAATTATCCTCAGGAGGCATGGTTTGTATGGGTCACAGACAATCTAGAAACACTGAGTCACTCTCGACAGTTCCCTCAGGATACTAGTTCAAATAGTTTGAAGCAGCTAAAAGCACCAACAGAAAGCTGTCATTGTTTGGGGTAGAAAAGGCCTTAGAAATAACCCAGTTCACCTTTCTCATTTTAATGGAGACTCCAAGGGCTCCACAAATGCCTCAGGCACAGCAATCCGCCAACCAACAAACATTAGTTTAAGGAGCAAGACCAAGAAACGTGTATTTCCAGCCTTACTGCATGCAGATACTATTTCATTATCTTTGGCACCAACTTCAAAACACGGTAAAAAGCCATAATGGAATAGAGTATTGTGGGCAATTCCTGAATCTGAAAAACCACTATAGAGTAAGACAGCAACAAGGTAAAGATAAGCTTTAAAAGTTGACTTCCTTAATCTGGAATCTTGAATATTGTAGGATAATATACAATAAAAAGGTATGAAAGGATGTCAGTCAGAAGTAGGGTGAATTTGAACTTTCTCACCAAATCCTTTAGCAGTAGGATTGAAGAGCAATTCTAGATGCTTAAAGAAGGAACTTTAGAAGGAGAAGATGTGCACCAATTTATTTGGCAGATAATAAGCCTGTCTGTGCATCTGAGACCACACCAGATGAAAACACAGACAACAAAATTCAAGAAAGGGTAAGAATAAATTCATGGGTGATAAACCCACAGCCAGTCATCGAGACCAGTTTCAAGTACACTGGCCATACCTAGCCCCTGAGCTTCCATCCTGGAAGGCAAACCACATTCTCTTACAAAATGTCCCTTGGGGCACCTGAGTGGCTCAGTCGGCTAAGTATCAGACTTCGGCTCATGATCTTACAGTTCACGAGTTCCAGCCCTGCATCAGGCTCTGTGTTGACAGCTCAGAGCCTAGAGCCTGTTTCAGATTCTGTGTCTCCCTCTCTCTCTGCCTCTCCCCCACTTATACTCTGTCTTTCTCTCTTTCTCAAAAACAAAAACAAAAACAACCCCCCCCCCCGCAAAAAAAAAAACCCAAAAAACAACAACTTCAAAATGTCCCTTAGGGATATAATGGGGAGGAAGGCAGTGTCAGAGCACTGGGTTGAATGGGCCACAAAACAAACGGACTTACCTGTGGGGTGAGATGCAAATGCCAGAAGCACCACACTGAAAAAGAAACAGCAGAGCAGTGAAGAAGTCTTCTCCAGCACTGAAAAATAACAACGTACATTTCCACCCATTCTACCCAAAAAGGGTGAAATTTGCCTCAGTGCAAATTATCTGCACTGAATGGTCTCATTCTGCCTAAATCCAACTCATCAGTGAGAGGGTGAGAATCTCTTGAGATGCCTCAGATTTTGGCAAGAGGGATGAATGTACCCTGTGACAGACTAAGGATCTATGCCCCACTCTGAGGTCATCTATACCACTGAGTATTATCACACTCACTTAATCTTCCAAGAATATTTGTAAGCTAAACAAAGCAAACTCTGAATTACAAATAGGCTGCAATCTAAAAAATAGCTGTTGGATGTGAGCTGAATCTACTTTTGCTACAAAAATTAAATTTGTAGAGGGAAGTTAAATTTCCAGGGTGCATGGGTGACTCAGGCAGTTAAGTGTCTGACTTTGGCTCAGGTCAGGATCCTGTGGTTCATGAGTTGAACCTCCGTCAGGCTCTGCACTGGTGGTGTGGAGCCTGCTTGGGATTCTCTTTCTCTCTGCCTCTGCCCTGCTTGTGCTCTCTCTCAAAATAAATAAGTAAACTAAAAAAAAAAATTTTTTTTTAAGTGGGATCAAACCAGTTGTTGGCCCTGGCAGGCAGAGCTCCTGGCTGGCACAGACCAGCACAGCTGCTGGAGGGATCTGAGGGATCCCAGACCTCTGGGGGCTGATGGCCTCAGTGTCCAGTGCCCATGGGAAACTGAACGGCGGCCTTGGTTCTGATTCACATATCTTCATCACTTGTACTGAAGGACTTGGAAACGGAACCCTGCCTTCAGTGGGGTGCAGGGCAGGCCCAGCCAGGAAGCTTCGGGCACCAGACTCACAGGCAATGAGTGTCCTTACTGGAGGGGAAGGAGCTGGGCTGGCAGGGGACTGAGTTGGGGGTCACTGAGGCTCACTTTTCCATTTTCCATCCCCTTATTCCTTTGCCGCACGAGTGAACTCTAAGTTCTGGGGAGAAAAAGAACTGCCAACGTGTTCCGATGTCACGGACACATTTTAAACATCAAGAGCCTTCTGCATTTTCAGAAGAGTCTCCTGAAAAAGCAGCTGTTATGTCTGGGCAGAGTAGAACTAATGATTGTTTTCAGCAGAGTACAAAAGAGGCCCATGGCCATGCTTGGGGTGGATCTTCTCAAAAAAAGGCATTTTAATAAACTAAGATATTTATGAGCTTTATCTGCAGACAGAGAATCCAGCTCATGTTGAACATTTTCAGATTAACTTCCTGCAGAAGCCCACACGACCAAATGCTGACAGACACATCCCCAGCCAGGGTCATTTTCCCAAGTGTGGCTGCATTAGTGCCACCTTGGGTCCTCACGGCAGAGCTCACCCTCCTTCTTAGCGAGGCCCCACAGGCATGGCCATCGACCACGAATCTCCAAAAACACCAGCTAGCTGTTCTTTTTTTTTTTTTCCTTAAATAGTTTATTGTCAAGTTGGTTTCCATATAACACCCAGTGCTCATCCCTACAAGTGCCCTCCTCCACGCCCATCACCCCCCTTCCCCTCCACCCCACCCCCATCAGCCCTCAGTTTGTTCTCAGCATTCAAGAGTCTCTCATGGTTTGCCTCCCTCCCTCTCCCCCACTATTTTTCCCCTTCTTCTCCAGCTTTGTCCTCTGTTAATTTCCTCCTAATCCTCCTATATGTGCAAACATATGTTATTTGTCCTTCTCTGCCTGACTTATTTTGCTCATCATAACACCCTCAAGGTCCATCCATGTTGCCACACATGGCCAGATTTCATTGTTTCTCATTGCCATGTAGTATTCCATCGTATAGATAAACCACATCTTCTTGATCCATTTGTCAGTTGATGGACACTTAGGTTCTTTCCATGTTTTGGCTATTGTTGAGAGTACCAGCCAGCTGTTCTATTTAGCAGACAGAGCCCTAGACTTTGCTTGGCTTGGGCTGAGGGTATATAAACAGCAGTCCATACACCATATTCAAATATTATAAATCAAGCCTCAAACTTCATTCTATCTTAATAAGTACGTATATCTTCAAAACAACCTTGAAGTCTAGATTAGAATTCAGAATTCCTGGAGTTCCCAGAGCTTCATTTCAGAATGTGGCCGCATGGACAGATCCAGCCTCTGGCTCCTAACTCCCAGCAAACCCCTTTCTCTTTCCATCCCAGGCTCCATCCTGCACACTACGGCCTCACACACTGTGTGTGCACACATCAGCTTCCAAGGCTGCCTTCCATGCACAGCCCCCAACCCCACTAAGAGCCTGTCTTTGGACACTCCTTGGGTCTAGCAAAGAGTTGGAAAGACAGACCCAAGTAGGCCTTTGAATCAAGCTCGGGACCATCTGAGCAGGGAATTTTCAGTCTCGGGCTAGATGGCCCTGGGAAGAAACGTCCCCTGAGCCTTCCAGACTCCATAAGCCATGGGGAAAAGCATGGCCTTTGGAAATATGGAGCCAGACAGAGGACCCTCTTGCCTGGTCTACGGACAGAACTAAGATTTGGTTTCCTCAACTTCCAGTCATCTCACAAATTATTTAGCTTGCCTTTCTGGTAGGCATATTGGCTCCGAACACCCTAATCAAAATATTATTGGAAAATAAAACTCAATTAGTGCTAGAAAGACATGAGTTGTTCTTTGAAAATGTAAATTATATTTTACCTGAACATATAGTTTAAGTACTGCTGGTCAATGTCACTAAGGAATGAGAAAAAAGAAAAAAGAAGATAAAACATGTGGAATAGTAGAAGTGTTTTACAGACACAAAATAGTCATTATCTTCTACTAATAAACTATATCTAGGGTTACGTATCTACATTTCAAAATTGTCAATAAATGGTATGAAGAGTACATTATATTCAAAACTAGTTCCTGGCTCATTTAAAAAAAAATTTTAATGTTTTTTTTATTTTTGAGAGAGACAGAGTATGGGGGAGGGACAGAGAGAGAGGGAGACACAGAATCCGAAGCAGGCTCCAGGCTCTGACCTGTCAGCACAGAGCACGACACAGAGCTCGAACTCATGGACTGTGAGATCATGACCTGAGCAGAAGTCAGATGCTTAATGGACTGAGCTACCCAGATGCCCCTGGCTCATTTTTAAAACATGTTTCCTAGTTTGGTGGTATCACATGCATGTTCACCTGTGGCAGATTATCTTCCATGTGTACCTTTGCCACTTAAAAAGAATGCCAGCTCTCAGGCCACTGGACTGGCTCCTGGGGCTGCCATATTTGACCAGTAAAAATACAGGACACCCAAATAAATCTAAATCTCAGATAAAGAGTCACGTTTAAGTATGTTCCAAATATTGCATAGGACATAGCTACACTAAAAAAAGGCTTCACTACTTATCTGAAATTCAAATTTAACTGGGCATTCTGTATTTTATCTGGCAACTCCACTGGCTTTTTGCTGCAGAAACACTTCATTAAAAGAACAAAAGGTGCCCTAGGGACCCAAGTCACAGCCTCCGAGTGTATAACCTTCTTCCAGGGGTCCTTCCATTCAGACCCACGGGTGGGACCTGAAACCGAGAGGCCAGCGGGGCCAGTCTAGGGCCTCTGACCTCCCAGATGCAGCCCAGCCCACACTGGGACTCTGTCTCTTTCATTTACATTTGCCAAGGCTGGTACGTTGACTGCCCACAAAAGAGGCCTCATTTTACCCCAAAACAGACTGGGGAACTTCTGGGTCTAATCAAAGTCAAGTTAGGAAGGGGCTGAGGAAGCAAGAAAAAAAAGAGTTGGTCTCTGAGTTGTTAGAAGTAAACTAAGGCCCAAAGCAGCAAGTGATGTCATTTTTACAAAAATGTCGTCTGACTGGCTCCTAAATGAAGAGGGTAGAGGTTCCCCTGCTCTTCACACGTCACTGGTACGATCAGGTGCTGGTGGACCCTGCCTGGAATGCCCAACAGCAGGACAAACGGCTCTGGGGGCGCCAGGCTGCTGTGCCCTCACCACAACCCTGACCTGCAGAGTTTCTGGCTTAATGGAACAAGCTCACAACACCATGGGCCTCACCTCTTTGCTTTAACCAACAAGAACCCACCACACTTCAAAAGTTTACCTTAGGGTACCTGGGTGGCACAATCAGTTAAGCGCCTGACTTTGGCTCAGGTCATGATCTCACAGCTCATGAATCTGAGCCCCACATCGGGCTCTGTGGAGCCTAGAACCTGCTTCAGATTCTCCCTCTCTCTCTGCCCTTCCCTAGCTTGCACTCTGTCTCTATCTCTCTCAAAAATAAATATTAAAAAAAATAATAATAAATGAACTAATTAAAGTTTACCTTAAGGGCACCTGGGTGGCTCAATCAGTTGCGCATCTGACTCTTGACTTCAGCTCAGGTCATGCTCTCATGGTTCATGGGTTCAGACCCCGCAACTGTGCTGTCAGCACAGAGCCTACTCGGGATTCTGTCTCCCTCTCTCTCTGCTCCTCCCCTCCTGCTCTCTATCTCTTTCTCAAAAAAAAAAAGGAATAAACAAAAAAAATTAAAAGTTTACCTTAATGCATTGGGTTTCCGGGACTTCTGCAATATCTTATAAGCTCCTGAAAACAAAGCAATGGGTGTTACTGGCACAGGGCATTCTGCAGAAGGGGCTGCAGGCAATTCCGGGGAAGCATGAAATCCACATGCACAAGGGCTGCCCTTCCCACAAGGCTCACCCAGCGCCAACAGGGGGCGACAACAACACTGGAGGGCTCGAGGATGTGAAAGCCACAATCCCTGTGATAACCGTTTGGGTACAGGAGAGCGCTGGGCCAGGAAGGCTCATGATCAGCAGGAGACAATTAACAGGAAGCTTTCCGCTTCCTTTGCAGGGTGCCCAGGGGAAAGAAATACCCTGGATCTCTGAACTGTGTGTAACAAAGTCAGGGCATTGCCCTTCCTCCACGACTGCAGACAGGAAACACTGAGTATATGACTTGAAATAAAGTCAGATGGGCCTTTTATCCAACCGTCCCCCACTCTTACTTTCCTTTGGGTACACTGCTGAAAGAGAGTATTTCTGGCACAAACTTCTGGATCTTCCCCACCACTTTTCGAGAAGACCAACTGGCATTTCGCAAGTAGGCTTCAGCGAGTGGGGCCCCAGCCACGGTGAGTTAATTAATGTTGGTTGAGAAAAAGAGGAGACTATATCAGAAATGGAAACATTTGAGGAAAACTCCAGAACAGGAAAATCAGATCAGAAAATGCCCATGTAATTTTAATCTTGACACCTGGTTTTTTTTTTTTTTTAAATATGGTTTATTGTCTGATTGGCTAACATACAGTATGCAAAGTGTGTTCTTGGTTTTGGGGATAGATTCCTGTGGACAGCTGGCCTGTGGACCCTTCCTATTGCTCAGAGTCACTGAAAAGTGGACATATATGATAAGGTCTAAATATTAAGCCTCAATTATTTAAGTAAGCATTTTTTTAACACTTACCTACACAGAATAAGTGAATTACAGCCCAGAAATATCCATCTGGATCAAACTGTAACACAAGATTAAAAAACAAAAACCAAAAACGGCTGTAAGTACAGACACACAGGACCCAGCCTGGTCATCAGAAACCATAGATGTGGATGCACAGTGCCGAGGAAGGGTTCCACAACAGGATTCTGGGGGCCTCGGGCCAGTCTGTCCTCATTTCCCAACTGGCTGCTTACAAAATCTTCCTAACAGGGTTCTCTGTGTCCAGCACCCCTTGCCCCATTCTCCACACTGCCCTCAAACTATGTCTCTAAAAGGCTAATTCAATGGTGTCATCTATCACTTAAAATCACTCACCAGTCTCCAGGGACTTTAGGATAAACTTCAAACTCACGACACCCAAGGATCTCTCTGACAAGCCCAGTCCTATCCACTGCACCCCCTCCAGGGAAAGAACTTGCACTTGCACTTCCCCCAGCACAAATGCTCCCCTCCACCAACTTAGCCGGGGGGGGGGGGGGGGGGCAGGGGAAGCACTCCCTCTCTTCTTCCCTTCCTTATTTTTCTCCATAGAAGCTTATCTCATCAGACACACTCTATTTCACCTGTCAGCTGTCTCTCTCTCCACCATCCATTAGGCTGTAAATTCCGGCAGGGCAGGAATTGGCACAGGGCCAGGCACATAAGATGTGTTCACTAAAGTTGAATCACAGAATACTCCGGACAGCTCCAGGACTATGCAAACACTTGCCTTCTTCTCCTGGTCAACTCCCCCCCATCTTTCAAGATTTAGGTCCAGATAGCAGAGTTGGGCTCTAGCATCAGAAAGATGTAGCATTAATTCTAGAATCCCCACTTATTCATTAGTGGGGACCTCGAGGGCCTCATTATTATTTTTTTTAATAATTATTTCCTTTTGAGAAAGAGGGAACATGAGTGGGGAGGAGCAGAGAAAGAGGAAGACAGAATCCCAAGCAGGCTCCTCACTGTCAGCGCAGAGCCCGATGTGGGACTTGAACTCATGAACCATGAGATCATGATCCAAGTCAAAATCAAGAGTCAGACACTCAATCGACTGAGCCACCCAGATGCCCTGGGGCCTCATTATTCTTTAGCTCTGCAGTAGAGACAATAATAGTCCCTTTCCTCATAAAACTATGAGATTTTAAATAAAAGAAGACACATAAAGCATTGGCACAGAGCCTGACACGTAGCTAGCTCCCTATAATTGTTAGCTATTCCTCCTTCCTGGTTCCCAAGTCTTCATAGGTGCCTCACAACATCCGCATCTCCCCAGGACAGAGCTCTGGCCTCCGTGTGTTGTAATTATCTGTTTATTATCTATCCTCCTCCCCTTTGCTCTGTCTAGACTCTGACTTCCGCCTAGATGAGGACAATTCTTTCTTTGTGTCCCCAGAGCCTGGCTCAGTGCCTGACACTTGATGGGGACTTAATAAGTGCTGGGGGACAAAAGAGGGAAAATAGACCCACTTATGAGATGACTATTGGGGGGGTAGGGGTGGGTCCTCAGTGCCTAATAAAGAAAAACTTGAGATAACAAAGTGAAAATCACTCTACAGATGAGGCCCTTTGGATGAGGGGGAAAATCAACTTCACCTCTATGCACAAGGCTAAGGCAACTTGGGCACTGGCTTGTGGGTCCTTCAAGCACACAGAGGGCAGACTGCACCACCACAGTGCCCAGCGGTCAGAGCCCTGCTGCATCACCACAGCCTTGGGGAGAAGGCAATAGCCTGAGGAAAAGGTGTTGACCTAGTCAAGAGGTACCCAGCCTGGAAGCTTCGAAATGCCTTTGCATAGGCTAGTGCTCTTCTGGTTCTAGAAGGAAGGACTAGAAAGTTCTGCTCATACATGCAGCCTTCAGAGAGTAAAAGGTACTTGGGAGGCAAAATGAATGCACTTGAACTTACCTGGGAGTCGTTGAAGGGGAGGCATCCCGCAGCAGCCAGGAGGAAGAGGGCACTGTGCAAAGGGAGAAAAGACACGCAGCTTCACTTTTCAACATCAAAGGGGTTCCCAGAGACCGTGGAGGTTGAAACATACTGAGTGGAGCGTGGATGGGCCAAGACCCTTTGAGACCAAGCCACATGCCCCTGTTCTGCCTCTGAGAACCCCACTACCTATGCAGCTTTCAACCGTGTGCTGCACTGGTGAGCAGACAGTTCCTTCCCCGGGTGCTCTGCTGGCCTTCCCCCAGACACAGGCATTTGTGAAACCACAACTGGCTCACTGGAGAAGACCAGGATGCCCGTGAAACAGATAGTAAAAGGAGATTTTTTTTAACTGCAGATCCCCAAAAATACACCAATGGAAAGCTGGGCAATTAGATTGCAGTTATGGCACTTAGGCAAAAGCAGCACATTAAAATCTTCGGTGCAGCACCTTCACCAAGTGATCAAACTTAACATCTCCAATGACAGGACAGATGTACATCGTGTGCCTCCTGATATGGCATCCTGAGAAGGACAGAACGTCACTCAGGCAGCATTCCTGACAAATATGCATAACCCACCGTGCACGGCCGGCTGGGCTGGGCCAGGGGGACTGGTACAGCACTGGGACCTCGCAACCCTGGGAAGGTCAGGATGACACGGAACCATCCTAAGGCACAGGAAGGTCCTCCACTCCAGCCCATCCCCATCCTATAGCCTCGCCAACTCTTAAGAAGGCACCAGATTACCAAAGCACCAGAGGCAAAGGGTGCAGGGAGTCGAGGGAGGCTGTTGGAAGGGTTTCTGGGGCTGCACAGGATTAGGCAGGTGGCAGGAGAGGAGAACTCTAATGGATTGGGTGTCTCCCTACAGCAGAGGACTTTTTAGAACCTAGGATGTGTCCCCAGCCACTTTCCCCACCCACAGGCAGTGAGCCTTAGACAGCACCTCAAGCAGGCAGCCCTTGGGGCTAAGAGGAGAGGGGACGGCCAGGTGTGAGGCAGCGCCTGGTTTTCCCACCAAACCTGGCCTTGAGCAACACCTGGCTACATCAGGTATTAGTGCGTTTTAATGCCTCCGTTTAACACCTGCTCATCTTTTAAAGAGAGGATGAGTCCTGACAGTGTTGCTATTATTTTTTCCCAAGTAGCAGCCTGTAATAAAAGCAAACTAAGAGACTGGATGAAAGCCCAGAAATATATGAAACAAAAAGTCCTAAATCCATGTGTCTGTTGGTTTTCTATCTTCAGGACTGAGCTTCGTGGCTATGGTGGAGGAGGCCGGGAGCAGCTAGAGAACAAGGGACTTAGCACACTGGAGGCACAGGGACGGCCTGAGAGTTCAGCCCAGTCCATGTTCCAGCCAAGGAGATGAGGCACAGAGGGCTGTGAGGCTGGCCCTTAGTCACTTTGCCTAAGACGACGACTCAGATCCCTGACCCTTGCGGCCAGCGCTTTTCCACCACGGGAATCATAAAAATCCATGAAGCTGCAAAAAATATTTTTCAAATTTTAAGTCATTCCTGTGTTTTCCATTTTCCTTCTCCCGTCGGCAGTGCACAACTCTTAGCAAAGGTTTGGGGGCCAAGAGCTGAAATCTAGCACATGTTACTTTCCCCTTAGGAACTGAATATCTCACGGGAAAAAAATACACACAGAGAGAGTAAAATTTAGAATAAGACACAAAATAAGGGTACATGAATGTATATAATAAATCCTGCCCACTCTCGAATAGGAATCTCCAACAGTTTATCATCAACGTTTAAAATCAGGTTAAATCTTCTATTTTAGAGGGCTGTGGGTTTTTGTTTTTTTTTAAGCTTACCTACAAATCTTTGCAGGAGACGTTTTCTGTATGAAAATAAAGAGACTTACAGTTAGTTTTTAAAAATTCTCTTTTTCTCCTTGAAAGAAAATATTTATTTTATATATTAAAACATTTTTTTAAATGTTTATTCATTTTTGAGAGACAGGGAGAGACAGAGCATGAGTGTGAGAGGGGCAGAGACAGAGAGAGACACTGATTCCAAAGCAGGCTCCAGGCTCCAAGCTGTCAGCATAGAGCCAGACATGGGGCTTGAACCCACAAACCACAAGATCATGACCTGAGCCGAACTCGGATGCTTAACCGATTGAGCCATCCTGGAGCCCCTGAAAGAAAATATTTAGACCAAGAGGCAAATAAATTTTGAGTAAGGTTACTGGGGACTTAAGTGCTTGCTGCACCTCAGTATTTCTTGGGGCTTTTTCTGCTTGGACCACATGAAGAATGACTCAGAGGTCCAGAATTGGGTCATCGGGGCAAAGCACTCAGGGCATACAGTTTTACTAACCTCACCACTGGAATCATGTTTACTCACAAAACCCCAAAATGATGCCAGGGCCAAGCCTTCAAATATCTTATACACCAAGACAAAAGAGAGAGAGAAATCCATGTGACCTGTGCAAGAAGATAAATTAAGCTCCTGTTCAATTTCTGTTCCAATCTAGCTCCTTATATTTTCCTTTCGTTAATCCGGCTCTGACTCTGGGCAGTGTCATAAATTCTCTGGGATGATGTATAAATGAAGAAACAGGAAAAAGGAGAAGGAACTGTTAACTCTCCCTCCCCTAGAAAGAGAGAAAGAGCAGACTGGGGAAATCTGAAATTGGCATTTAAAGCTCTCTGAAATGAGGAGATTCTAATGTGGAGTCTACTTTTATCCTCTCCTTTTTATTAGTCATCTAAAGGGAATTAGTCCTTTGCACTCAGGAAAAAAGTTCTAGCAGGGAGAAGCATAGATTTTTCTATATTTGATAGAGGAAATGACAGATTAATTCTGGGCATTTCAAAAGGATTACTTTGCTAGTTGAGGATAAACTATAGTTTTTTTTACTCTAGTTCAGGAAAAGTAAAGTATGACTATATTGTTTAAAATTGAAGCACCCAGTGGTGCCTGGGTGGTTCAGTCAGTTAAGCATCCAACTTCAAATCAGGTCATGGTCTCACAGTTCATGAGTTTGAGTCCCATGTCGGGGTCTCTGCTGTCAGCACAGAGCCCGCTTCAGATTCTCTGTCCCGCCTCTCTCTGCTCCTCCCCGACTTGTGTTTTTTCTCTCTCTCCCTCTCTCCCTCTCAAGAATAAGTAAACATTAAAAAAAAGTCTTAAAAATGAAGCATTCAAAAGACACAAACTTCCAGTTATAAAAGAAGTCTTGGGCATGTAATGAACATGCATGGTGACTATAGTTACTAATACCTTATTGTATATCTCAAAGTTGCTAAGAGAGTAGATCCTGAAAGTATTCATCACAAGAAAAAACATTTTATAACTGCATATGGTACTGTATGTTAACCAGACTTATTGTGATCATTCTGCAATATATACAAATATCAAGCCGATATACTGTCCATCTGAAACTAATATAATGTTATACGTCAATTACATCTCAATTGTTGCTTAAATGTGAACCAGTGACAAGGAAACATGGTTTGCTATGAAGGCTATGTTCAGTTTTCATGCATTACTAAATAATCCAGTTTGTATTGTTTTAATAAATGGATCCTGTGTGTGTGCAAAGGAGTGCCTTGCATGTTTAGGTCCTTTTCATCTGTGTGGAACCGGCCTCAGCTGGCGACGCCGACCGTGACTCTGCTGCCACCTGGTGGAGATACTTATCCCTTCAGTAGGGAAAGGATGACCCAAAAGGTGACCTGGCTCACAACACTTGGAGAATTGCCCTCATCAAGGGAAAATGTGTCACTAAAAGAACTAAATGTAATCAATGTCTGCAACAATTTGGTGGGAGAGTAGGGACAGGACAGAGACAAAAAGCATGTCCCGGCTCCTCCATGAACAGTAATCACAGTCACCCAGCAAGTGGCTGTCAGGGGGCTTCTGTCACAGGGCAGCAAATCAATACGGTGTGTGATTCAGAGGATCACCCATTTCTCAGAGGAGGAACTGTTTCATTTTATTTTAAACATGTCTTGGGGCACCTGGGTGGCTGAGTAGGTTAAATGTCTGACTTCAGCTAAGGTCATGATCTCGAGGTTCTGTGAGTTTGAGCCCCACATCGGGCTCTGTGCTGACAGCATGGGGCCTGCGTCGGATCCCCTGTCTCCTTCTCTCTGCCCCTTCTCTCAAAAATAAATAAACATTAAAAAAATATTTTTTAAATAAATAAACACCTCTGGCCAGAGGAGCCAGAACCTGAGATATGGATATTAAAACAAGCAATAAATGCATTATTGAGCCCCATCTCCAAGGGCTTCAAAAACAGTAACTGAGTGGTTACTGTCTGGGTGTTCACCTTTTCAGGCTTCTCAGTCCTAAAGTCACCCAGTGATAAGTCCTCGTGATATCCCAGTGTTCTGAATGGGTCAGTATAACTTCTCAAAAGTCATACCGCCAAAAATAACAATAAATAGCTAACATTACGAGAGTCAGCTAAATTACTGTGAGGGCTACCTACTCTGGGCCGGTGTTGTTCTAAGCCCTCTACAGGTATTGACTTATATCATTATGGGTTAATTAAGTCTCAGGCTATATGCTACAGTTGTGATCACCAAGGCACTGAGAAATTAGCTAAGTTGCCCAAGGTCACACAGGGTTTGAGCTCAGGCAATCTAGCCCTGGAGCCCTGATCCTTTATGAAGTTATTCTGTCACAGCCAGCCTACCAGTCCTGTGGTGACAAGCCACCGGCCCTTTCAGATCACTACCTTTATTTGCTGTTTCTCTGCCTGTCCGGAGTGCCCCTTCTCCCTACATTTTGAAAATTCCTATCATCTGTGTGACTGGGTTCAAATCTCACCCATGACCCTTCCAAGCAGCTTTACGTCACCCCCCGCTCTCCCCCCCCCATAGAATGTCATATGGGCATTACAGAGTGTGTTTACATGTTGGCTCTTCCATTTAGCTCAGTTCTGTGAGGGTGACCAATGTGTCCTCTATATCTCCACAGCCAGAGTATATACTTAACAAATGTTCAACAAAAAACCATAATAAGAATGAGTAGCAATATTGTAATATTGAACTGTGACAACTATACTGCGAGGTAGGGAGACTATTTCCACAAGCCATACACTACCCTCTAAAAGTCAAGCTGTGTGCATGTGTTTGCACATGCACGCACAGAGAACCAGGGATGGTGACAATGAACCACAGCTCCAGGTAGAGTATATTCTCATGACCTGGGAACGAGGGTGAGGAGGTCAACCTTCCTCTCCAGAGTTGAGTCTGGAGAAACCAACACATAATGGTCAAAGAGCTAACATTATCGGAGGTCAGCTAAATCACTGTGAGAGCTCAATGTGAGTCACAGGTAAAGTCTAAGTCGTGTCACACAGCCACGTTCCTGGTAACATCTAGTGACTTTGTTGAGGCTCCAGGCTAAATGACCAGGAAAGTGAATCATATTGAGAAAATATCAGCAATATTCATCACAGAGCAGCTTTTAATGCCAACCTACTAGAAACCACTTGCAAGTTTACACAGAGGGACTGGTCAACACACCATGTTCCATGTGGAGTGGAATGAGAGCACAAACAGAGATTCCTGACAAGTTGATCAGGAAAATAGGATATAGTATATCATATACATAAGTATGTCTACATATGTGCATAGAAAGAAGTCTGAAAGCATAGAGTAATATCCTCTGCGAAGTAGGATCACGGTTGATTTCTGGGACTTTTTCCCTCTGCATGTTCTATGATTTATTATAGGTTATTATGTTCATAAAGGAAATAAAGGGTTTTTTTTTAAATATTTTTAAAAAATGTTTAATGTTTATATTTGAGAGAGACAAAGAGCACAAGCTGGGGAGGGGCAGAGAGAGAAGGAGACACAGAATCTGAAGCAGGCTCCAGGCTCCGAGCTGTCAGCACCAAGCTTAACTGACTGAGCCACCAGGCACGCCTTAAATAATTTTTTAATATTTACTTATTTTCGGGGTGCCTGGGTGGCTCAGTCAGTTAAGCGTCCAACTTTGGCTCAGGTCACGATCTCATGGTTCGTGGGTTTGAGCCCTGCGTCGGGCTCTGTGCTGACAGCTCAGAGCCTGGAGCCTGCTGTGGATTCTGTGTCTCCCTCTCTCTCTGACCCTCCCCTGCTCACACTGCCTCTCTCTCCGAAATAAATAAAACATTAAAAAAAAATTTTTTTTTAATATTTACTTATTTTGAGAGAGAGAGACAGAGACAGAGCATGAGCGGGGGGGAAGGGGAGACAGAGAGGGAGACACAGAATCTGAAGCAGGCTCCAGGCTCTGAGCTGTCAGCACAGAGCCCAATGTGGGGCTCAAACCTATAAGCTGTGAGGCTATGACCTGAGCCAAAGCGAGATGCTCAACCAGCTGAGCCACCCAGGTGCCCCTCAAAATAAATAAACTTAAAAAAAAAATTTAAAGGAGATGTGGCATATGTATATAATGGAATATTATTCAGCCATTAAAAAGAATGAAATCTTTCCATTTGCAACAACATGAATGGACCTAGAAGGTATAATCTAAGTGTAGTCAGTCAGTCAGTCAGAGAAAGAAAAATATCATATGATTTCACCCATATGTGGAAGTTAAGAAACAAAACAAACAAACATAAAAAAAAAAAAAAAAGACCTAAAGCTAAAAACAGACTCTTAACTATAGAGAACAAACAGATGGTTACCAGAGGGGAGGTGGGGGGGGGGAATGGGTGAAATGATGAAGGGGATTAAGATTACACTTGTGATGAGCACTGGGTGATGTATGGAATTGTTTAATTGCTATATTGTACACCTGAAACTAATATAACACTGTATGTTAACTATACTGGAATTAAATTTTTTTTTAAAAGAAAGTATGCTGTTTAGTGTTAGTGATGAAATAGAGATAAAGATTCAAAATATTTTGGTGTTTATCCAATTTCTTCCAAGGATAGGTCCTCTCAGCCTGGAAGTCTGGCCCCTGGTCTTTGGCTGATGGAAATACCCCTGAGGACTCTAACACTTAACCTTGCCTATGTGATTGGACTTGTCCACCAGCAAGAAATACCTTGTAGAAATGCCAGGATCCCTTCCCTAGACCAGATGAATCTTCATTTCCAATTCACAACAAAAGTATCCACTTTGAAGATAAGAAGCAGGAGCAGCTCTTGGTGAGTTTCTCAACCTCAGGGACTGATTCGTGAATTTCAGCTTGGCAGCAGTTCCGGGGCTGGACTCTGCGGCCACGCAGAGAACAGGCACGTGGTGCCTGCCAAGAGGCAGCTCGGAGAAAGCAGGCAAAGACCCAGGGAAACTCCTAACCACATTTCAGTGAACCTCAGATGCCACTGATTATAAAATTCCCCATTCTTTTATATACTACCAAGAAAGAAAGCATTTGACCACAGGATGCCATTGACTGTAAAAGCATCTCAACTAGAGGTAGTGAATACTTTCATTAAAGTTTGTTTATTTTCAGAGAGAAGATGCGAGCAGGGGATGGGACAGAGAAAGGGGGAGAGAGAGAGAATCCTAAGGAGGCTCCACACTGTCAGCACAGACCCCGACACGGGGCTCGAACTCATGAACTGTGAGATCAAGCCCTGAGTCGACATCAAGAGTCAGACCCTTAACTGACTGAGCCACCCAGGTGTCCAGTAGTAATTTTTTAACGTGAAAAAAGCGGCATGTAATTGATGAAATATGGAAAATGCCATATGGTGTGAGAAGTACAATGTCAGAGAGAGGTGCTCACGCTCCTTGAGGTGTCAGGGAAGGTTCCAACTGCATGCAGACTAGCCTAAAATACTAAAGCCCCCTTGTGGGACCTCGAGAGTCACCACAGGGTCCCCTCTCAGCTCCTGCAGTCCTTTCTCCTCCATACACAGCTGGATGAGCTTTCAACGCTGTAAATCTGATCAGTCTCTCTGGCCTTTCACACCCAACCCTGGCCATTCCCTGCACACAGCATAAAGCCCACATTCCTAGCTCAGCCTCAAAGGCTTGTCCTAAGGCTCCAGCCTCATCCTAAGCCACCGTCTCTTTCCTGTCAAGCTCCAGCCTCACTGGCCCAAAGTGACTTCTGCCAAGTCCCCTCCTATATCTGGCCCTTTGCTCCTTCTTACTGGGTGCCCTCCCCTTGCTCTCACCTGTTAAACTCCTGCTTAGCCTTTGTGTTTAAATGTCACTTCCCCAGAGTGGCCTCTCAGGCCATACAATCCAGCAGGCAGTGTCATGATTCATTGAGTGTCTCCCCTACTCAGCTGATGCTCTGTAAGAGGAGCCCTGAGCAGAAGGACCGCACCTCTTCCTCACTACTGTAGGTGCAGCGCCTGGCCCAGTGGGCGTGCATTTAGAATAAATGAGCGGGTGCTTGAAGAGGTTCTCTGACAGATCACAAAAACACAAAACAAAACAAAACAAAACATCACTATGTGGTCTAGGAAAAGTGAGAAGTTTGGTTGCGTCCAGATTTTCTAAAATCCGAAAGGTAGATAGTATCCCGGTGGTGACAAGCTTTACGTGCCTCTGTGTAGGTCATGGGCAGTCCCTTAAGTGCACGGGGATGTGACCGGATCTGTATCAGAAGGTCACTGGCACGCAGCATGGAGGAGGGTGAGGGCAGGCAGAGGCAGAGGCAGGGCAAGCACCCAGGCACTACCGCACACCTGCCAGGAGATGGCAGGTGATGGCACGCACAGAACACAAGAACAGCCTAAGCCAGTTCTGTTCGCCCCAGCCCCTACTCGGCTGCCCGAGAGACTGGGGGAGCAAGATGTCATTTGGCCCCTAGCCAGGTAGCCATGAAAAACAGATAAGGACCTGAACCAAGGCGACAGCAGCAGTGGGAATGGAGAAGAGGGAACAGATTCAGAAACAGGGTGCAGCGGCGGGGGGGGGGGGGGGGGGGGGGGGGGGGGGGGGGGGGGGGGGGGGCGCTGAAGAAGACCAAGGCAGGACTCTAAGAACTCCTGTATTTCTGACTTCGTGGTGATGATCAGGATCAGGATCACCAAGCAGGAAGCAGGTTGGGAAAACAACAGTTCTGGTTTGTTCCCTTTGCGTTTCAGACACCCAGGAAACAGCTGGGCAGACAGCTAGAGGCAGCAGATCATGGGGACCTGAGCTCAGAGAGAGGTCTGGGCTGGAGATGGGACACAGGAGTCTCAGTGAACAGAACGGGGACGCCGCCATGCGTGTGGTTGAGACTGTCCAGAAAGCGTGTGTGGAACAAAGGGCTCCTGACACAGAGCCCCGGGAGACCCTGAAGGGCAGGCGAAAAAAACGGAAGGGAAGGAGGAGCCAGAGACTCTGGAAGAGAACCAGCAGGTCAAGGGGGCCAAGAGATGCAAGGAAAGGCAGCAGTGAACCTGGTGATGAATGGCATACAAGGGCAACGGAAGTCGCATAAATGCAGCCATCGGTGACTTCAACCAGAGCAACTCCAGGGGAATGGTGGGGGCAGGAGCAGGAGCGGGTTGGGGGTAAGAGGGATACAAGTCTGTGAACAGCTCTGAACTTGAACCTCCTTCCCTCCCACACTGTGCTGGGGGTGGGGGGTGAGATCGCAGTGGAGCAGAGGTGGAGGGGTGCATGCTGGCATTGGCGTCCAGTGTTGGTTTTCAAAACGGGGCCTTTGAGAGCTGGGTTCGTGTCAGCGGGTCTCCCAGGGCCCGCTCCATCCTTGGTGGACTGAGAGCACTGCGTGTGTCCACGGGCTGAGGAAAGTTAGCCAGCAGAGACGGAGAGAAGTCAAAGAGGACAAGGAAGTAGCCATGGAGCTGCCTGCAAGCAGCAGGCGGGGATGACAGGCTGCACAGGTGTGTGGGTGGCCTGGGCCACAGGAACGATGCCTCTCTCGCCCGCATACCTATAAGAAGAGAGGGGCCTGAATGGCCAGCTAGTCTCTCTGGTTGGAAAGTTCCACATTTTTATATGAAACCATTTCAAATGGGCAGATGTTAGAAAAAAAAGAGCTCCCAAAAGAGGGACCAAATTAAATCTGCCACTAATAAGGTTAATAAATGTAGCAAACATGTACAGAGTACCTACTAGGCACCAGAAACCTTTGGAAGCACTGAACACATGTGCCTTGCTGTGTCCTCCCAACAATGTATGAGCCAGGTGTTGTTACCGTCCCCTTTTCCCCAGTGGAGGCACAGAAGGTGAAGGCACTTGCTTGAGCTGGTGTGAGGCAGAGCTGGGCTTAGGAAGAAAGGGGATTTCCCCTGGGGGGGCTAAGGCTCCCAGCCCCCTACGTGAATTCTCTGCCATACATTTCCCTGTGGCCCTGGGATTCTCTGCAGGTTGGAATGAGGGCCCCACCCCCATTCCTCACGCACAGCAAATTCCTCCTCGTATCCCAAAGTGCTTGCTTTGCCCTGACCCGCTGAGTGCCGTTCAGATCAACAAGCATTCCCACGCATGTACGGTGAACTGAAGGGATGTCAAACGCACGATCTTTGAAATTAGTGACGACTGCCAAGCAGTCTTGACCACTGACAGGAAACAGATGGCAGGAAAAGGTAGACACTAATTTGGGCCATAAATTTGCTTTGAAATTTAAAGCAAGGGAAGCGAAACTAGCATTTTGTATTATCATTTACCTCTTTCCGAAAACACTTCTGGTGCCCACAGACGATAACTTCAGCTACATTATGCAAAGTAAGAAACACAGGAATGGCCTGAAAGAAAACAGAATAATATAATAAGCATGAAAATGTTTTCTTTGATCCTCTAATTACATAATACTTGATTTCTGCTTAAAAATAAAGATCCGTGGGAACTTTTGGCATTCACATATATAATCCTCTCCAGCAAAAACTCTTCTGCGTGGATTAGTGCTCTCTGTTGGAGTATTCTTGGTGAGGTGGATATAGAGGCTCAACACGTATTTATTAAGCACCTACTGTGTGTCACAGGAAACACATCCCATGCACAAGGTGGATACGTGATAGGCAGACAGTCCGTATTGAAGTAAGAGCTCAGATGGAATACACAAAAAGGTGCACCTACCCCAGCAGAGTCAGGACCAGGCCAAGAGCCACGGAGCCACTGAAGAGTTTTAAGGCAGTGACATGATTTGATCTGTGTGTTTAAAGAAACTTGGGCTCCCAGTAGAGGACAGAAGGCAGAGAGGGTTACAAAAGTCCCTGGGCATGACTAAAAAATGGCCTCCCGAGAGACAGTCCCACCCTAATCCCTGGGACCTGCAAATGTCACCCTACATGGCCAAAAGGGTTCTTTGCAGTTGTGATTAAGTGAAGATTCTTGAGATGGGGAGTTTATCTGGGTAGGCCCCAAAGGCAAACACATGTAGCTGTAAGAGAAAGAGATATGACACACACAGAGGGGGAGGCGACGTGACCACAGAGCCAGAGACTGGAGTGATGGGGCCACAAGCCAAGAAACACCAGCAGCCATCAGAAGCTGGAGATGAGGAGTAGATTGTCTCATTGGGCCTCTGGCGGGCAGTGGGGCCCTGCTGACACACCAGGATTTGGGCACAATAACGCGGATGTTCTCCACAGCTGGGGAGAATAAGTTTCTGCTGTTTTAAGCCACCCACTATGTGGCAATTTGTTACAGGGGCCATGGGAAACTAATACAAGGAATGGCAAGATAGTGGCCTGAACTTAGCGGTGGCAGTGAAAATGGAGAAAAGTGTTCATATTAAGGAAATATTTAGGAGACTGAACTGAGGTAAATATTTGAATGGCTGGGATCAAATATGCACCCCAAAAAAGTAGGGGAAGGGAGAAGAGATAAAAAAAAAAAAACCTTAACACTCCATGGACGCCTGGATAGCCCAGTTGGTTGAGTGCCCAACTCTTGATTTTCACCTCAGGTCACAATCTCATGGTTTGTGAGACAGAGCCTGTGTCAGGCTTGGTGCTGACAGCATGGAGCCTGCTTAGGATTCTTTTTCTCCCTCTATGTTTCTGCCCCTCCCTTGCTCATGCATGCACTTGGTCTCTCTCCTTCTCTTCTCAAAATAAATAAATAAACTTTAAAAAACACAAAACAAAACCTAACACTCCAGAGGGTTATTAAGGTAAATGGACCACCCACGGCATATTTACTATTGCTGGGCTGTTTGCTAAGAATGGCAGTCTCTCCTAATTTGATGGCTAATCTTGACACAGTGAGCAGAAAGGATTAAAGGGTGTGGGATTTTGTTATTGTCTTTGTTGTTGATGATGATAACATTTCTTAAAAAGTGAAAAAGATCAAGATATACAGGGGTTTTGGCATCAGAAAGGGCTAGTGGAGCAGGGTACTTATCCAAACTTTGGTTTGTTTCTCTATATGGGGAAAACAATTCCTATGACCCAGAGCACTGGGGAGGAATGACAGAAACAAGTAGGTAAAGGACATAGAGGGGTGGCTCGGGAGTACTACACGAAAAGTGGTATTAACAGGTGGCCCACACTCAGCAGCCCAGACAGAGGACCCTGAGCTGGGAAACTGTTCCAGCTTAGAGGACCCACTTAAGACCACGCCACTCGCCTACTTCCAGATGGATCTGTTCTTTATCTTTTGGGAGGATATATTTTTACCTTGTTTTTAAAACTTTGTAGCTCTTCCCTATTTTAGTACCTTGTTCTAACTTGCACTGTTTTATTTCTTTTGGAGTTCTTGCCTTACATTTTCCTGTCTTTTTAATGTTTCTACTCTTAATTTATCTTTCATTAAAAGTGCAATTCAAACTGTTTTTTCCTTTTAAAATCATACTTTATAAAAATAAATAAATGAATAATAAAATCATACTTTATTTTAACAAATAATCCAATTAGAAAATGGGCAGGAGACATGAACAGGCATTTCTCCAAAGAAAACACCCAGCGGGCCATCAGACACGTGAAAAGATGCTCAACATCACTTATTAGGGAAATATAAACCAAAACTACAATGGAATCTTATCTCACACTTGTCAGAATGGTTAAACTCAACAACACAAGAAACAACAAATGTTGGCAAGGATGTGGAAAAAAAGGAACCCTTGTGCATTGTTGGCGGGAATGCAAACTAGCGCAGCCACTGTGGAAAACAGTCTATAGAGGTTCCTCAAAAAGTTAAAAATAGAACTACCCTATAATCCAGCAATCATACTCCTAGATATTTACCCAAAGAATATGAAAACACTAGGGGTGCCTGGGTGGCTCAGTTGGTTAAGTGTCTGACTTTGGCTCAGGGCATGATCTCACGGTTTGTGGGTTTGAGCCCTGCGTCAGGCTCTGTGCTGACAGCTAGCTCAGAGCCTGGAGCCTGTTTCAGATTCTGTATCTCCCTTTCTCTCTGACCCTCCCCTGCTCACGCTGTCTCTCTCTCTCTCTCAGAAATAAATAAAACATTAAAAAGAAAAAGAATATGAAAACACTAATTTAAAAGGATACATGCACCCCTATGATTACTGCAGCACTATTTGACATAGTCAAATTATGGAAGCAACCCAAGTGTCCATAGATAGATGAATGGATAAAGAAGATGTGGTGTGTGTGTGTGTGTGTGTGTATGTACATATAATACATGTATATTATATATATGTGTATATATAAATATATAAATGATGGACTATTACTCAGCCATAAAGAAGAATGAGATCTTCCCATTTGCAATAACATGGATGGACCTAGAGAGTATAACACTAAGTGAAATAAGTCAGTCACAGAAACACAAATACCATATGATTTCACTCATATGTGAAATTTAAGAAACAAAAGAAACAGGGGACACCTGAGTGGCACAGTCGGTTAAGTGTCCAACTCTTGATTTCAGCTCAGGGTCATGATTTCATGGTTCATGAGATATAGCCCTGCATCAGGGAGGAGCCTGCTTGGGATTCTCTCTCTGCCTCTCCACTGCTCACTCACTAACTCCCTTCCTCTCATTCAAAATAAATAAACCTTAACAAAAAAAAAAAAAAAAAAAAGGGAAAAGAGAAAGAGAGACAAACCAAAAAGTAAACTCTTAATTATAAAGAACACACCGATGGTTACCAAAGGGGAGTGGCTGGGAGGTTGGGGGAAATAGGCAATGGGGATTAAGGAGTGTCATAAGCACCGGGTGATGTATGGAAGTGCTGAATCACTGTATTCCTCACCTGAAACTAATATAACATTGTATGTTAATTACACTGGAATTAAACTTTAAAAAAAAAAAGAAGTTAAAAAAAATCATACTTTATTTTTATTATTTCCTAGTTTTTCATTTATCTTTTGTGCTTTTTACTCCTGTTAAATTTTTATATTTTAAATTAATATTTATGTGTTTTAAAATCATTAAAGAGATTTTTAAAAAATTTTTATTATGTTTCTTTTGAGAGAGAGAGAGAGCGCTCACACACACACACACACACACACACACACACACACACACATACGAGCAAGCAAGGGGCAGAGAGAGAGGGAGACACAGAATCCGAAGCAGGCTCCAGGCTCTGAGCTGTCAGGACAGAGCCCAACATGGGGCTCGAACTCATGAGTGTGAGATCATGACCTGAGCCGAAGTCAGACACTCAACTGACTGAGCCACCCATGCACCCCAAGAGATTTTTTGTTTTTAACTAGCTTTATCCATTAGGCCATGTTCAGCAAACTCAGGGCCTGGCCTTCTAGTTCTCAGCTTGAGAAGATAGCAAAGAAAATCTTGGGTGGGTTATATGAAAATGAATATGAAAGGGTGGCCTGGATACTGTTTATGTAAAATTAAGACCTTTTGGAGCATCTGAGTGGCTCAGTTGATTAAGCATCCAACTTTGGCTCAGGTCATGATCTCATGGTTCCTGAGTTAAAGCCCTGCATTGGGTTCTCTGCTGTCAATGCAGAGCCTGCCTTGGATCCTCTGTCCCGCCCCTCCCCATCTTTCATACACAAATTCTCTCTCTCTCTCTCCCAAAAATAAACATAAAAAAATTAAGACCTTTTTAAAAATGCTTTTGCCTCTTTGACTATAAAATCTGTAAGGACGCCAGATTTAGGAACTCTAGATACTAACTCTAGACCTCAAGGAGGCTAATTTTCTCAATTTTATAAATGATGGATACGTTTCTCAGTCTTCCTAGGCCCTGCACTGATTACATTCTGGGAAAGGAGCTACTGATACACACAGAATTGCTTTTCAAGTACACTAATGACAGCTATCAACAATGTATTGGGCACAATGCTAAGTACTTTAATTGCATTCTTGTATTTAAATCTGCTTCCAGGCTGCCATGTTGGGGCCTTGGAGGCTGTTGCTTCAGGCTCTGCTCAGGTCACAGGCTCTTCCCATGTGGCCCAAAGCACTGCCAGAAAGAGTGAGGGCGAGGCTGGGAGGGCTGTGGCCAGGAATCCCTTCAACCCTTTCTGGTGCATTTTTTGCATAAAGTGAGGAAAACACCCCTATTGCTCCATGCCCAGCGTGGAACCCAATGTGGAGCCCAATGTGGGGCTTGAACTCATGACCCTGAGATCAAGAGTGGAGCTGAGATCCCTGTGACTCCCTCTCTCTCTGACCCTCCCCTGCTCACACTGTCTCTCTCTCTCTCTCCTAGAAAAAAAAAA